TCAGCTTCCTGGGAATGGGCAGCGCCAGCACCTGGTAGGTTGTGAGGAAGGTGCGCAGGGCTTTGCGGCACAAGTGCTTGAGCGACGAGAGGACCCTCGGGGCTGTCCAGAACTGGACGTGGCCATCCCTGGTCCTGCAATGGGATCCAAACAACCCTGAGCACAGGGCAGAGGGACACGAATTCCAGCTGTCCCCAAATACTGCCAAGTTTGCCAGGAGCGTGTGTTCCCCAGCCCAGGAAAAAACTATCCCCAGGGAAGCCCAGAATTTGCTGAGCCGCAGGAGGAAGGAGCAGCCCTGTGTTTCTCCACCCTCTTCTCCTGTTTACTCACCCTGTGGCAATGAATCCTCCATGTGGGAAGTACATGCAGCACAGACCATTGGTCATGGGGGCAAAGGCCACTGGAGACCGCAACTCCAAGGCCCAGATCCTCAGGAGCCTGTGGAGAATGGGAGAGGACACAGTGCAGTGCCTGCTGCCAAAATAAAGCCTCTGGGATCCCCTGAAGACACAGAAACCAGAAGGATTTGCTTCCCAGAGGTGTGTTCCAGGGAGGACTGTCCCCTGCTGAGGAAGTGACACCTGAGGGTGGCACAGCACCCAGGAGGACATGGACCTCAGCTCAGGGTGACAGGGCCCTGACCTTGCTACCCCTTGTCACAGCCAAGCCATGGTGTTCCCACGGGCCTGACCTTTCCCCTTATCCCAGGAATTGGTGGGGACCTGGAGCATTTATTCCCCGCCTCCTGAGCTCCTAGTTCATTTTGGTCACCTCCTGGGCCTCTCTCTGGGTCCCCACAGGGGTTCACTCACCTGTCATCTGCCACCGTGGCCAGGTAGAGCCCCTCGGGGGAGAAGCAGACGGAGCGCAGGGAGCTGCTGTGGATTTCACTGCTGGAGTCCAGCGTGGAGTGCAACGGGACATGGCTGTGGGTGGGGACAACATCCCAGCATCAGCTCTGAGCTGCCACCAGCCCCTTCCCCAGCTGAGGCTGGCAGAGCTGCCAAACTTGGCAAGCCAGACCCCCATCCTGCCTCTGGAAGCAGAAGAGTGGTGATGGCTGTGCCCAGTGAGAAGGGAAAGCCACATCCAGCCCCAAAAACCTCCCTGGCATTGCTCTGTCCTATCCCACAGTGTCCCCATGGTCCATACCACAGTGTAGACATGGTGGTTGTGCCCATCCAGCAGGGAAAGCCACATCGAGCCCTAAAACCCTCTCTGGCATTGCTGTGTCCCCTCTCAGGTCATACCGCAGTGTCCTGAGCTGCTCCCCAGTGTACGGGTCCCACATAATGACACAGGCGTCGTAGGAAGCGGTGACAAGGAGCGCAGAGTCTGGGGAGAAGTCACAGGACACCACGCTGCTCTGGTGGCCCTCCAGCCTCCGGATGAGGGTGTAGGATCTCATGCTCCACAGCAGTGCCTGCAGGATTTGGGCAGGGGATCAGGCTGGGAGCATCCCAAGGTTTCAACCACATGGGCTCTGCTCCCAACTTCCAGCTCCTGAGGAGCCAGGGCAGCATGGCCTGGCCCTTCTCCAGGGGGGTTTCTGGGGGCACAGAGGGCTGGATTCAGCAGGCACAGGGATGGCTCCCATCCTGCAGGACTCACCGACTTCTCACCAGCAGCGGAGCAGAGCATGCTGCAGTCTGGAGAGATGGAGCAGCAGTAGACCCACTGCACGTGGCCTGACAGCACCTGCACCTGCCGCCCTGGGGACAGCAGAAATGTGTCACCAGGGGAAAACAGGACTCCTTGGCTTTGCTCTTCCTCCCTTTCCACAGTGGGAATTCACATTGGGCTGAGGATTCCCTGGGTAAATCCCAAGGTAATGCCCTCCTGCATCTCCCAGGTTACACTCTGCTCCCAGTCATGTGGCTGTCCCCTTCTGCCTCAAATACTGTCCCCAAAGGTCCTCTGCCACCACCTTCCCTTCCGAGATGAGTTTCTTCCCCTTCCCTGACCCAGCACAGGTATATCCCTGCACGCTCCTACCATCCCTGCTCAGGTCCCACACACGCAAGGTCTTGTCCCGTGAGGCAGACACGAGGATGGGGCTTCCATTGGGAGCGAAGCTCAGGTCCCTGACAACATCCTGGTGTCCCAAGAGGCTGAAGAGGAGGTGCCCTGCAGAGAGTCAGGCTCAATGCCATCCATCCACAGGGAATGAGGCAGAGTCCCTCGTGCAGCCCCTTTGGGACAGGGCAGGTATTGGGGAAGGAGGGAGATGGGATCTCCTTCCACAGGGGAACAAGGGGACAGCCAGCCTGAAGCCACAACAGCGAGGGCTGCTCACCTGTCTGCACCTCCCACACCTTGATCTGCCCATCGTTGAGCCCGGTGGCCAGGACCAGGCAGGGAAGCCCCACAGCACAGGCAGGATCTGTGTCCCCATCCTCAGCTGCTGGCCAGGCACTGAAGGCCAGGCCCCACACGATCTGCCCACACTCCAGAGTCTTCTCCTTGGCTGCCCCACGGCTCCAAGTCTCTGCTTTGCCACCCCGGCTCTTGCGCTCTGAAGTTTTGCAGCTGCTGGAGGGAGGCAGGGATGGGTGGAGTGCTCACCCCAAGACCCCCCCGGCCCAGCTCCATGCACCCATCTTCACCCCATACTGGAAAACCCCTGGGATCAATCCAAGCTGGGGAATGGAGAGCAGCACTGGGAGGACTTTGGTGCTGGTGGGTGAGGGCTGAAACACCCTGGGCTGATCCCCCAATGTGGGCAGCAGGAAAGGAGAGGGAATTCTGCCCCTCTACCCCACTCAGGTGAGACACCACCTGCAGAGCTGCCCCAGCCCTGGGGTTCCCACTATCAGAAGGACGTGGAGCTGATAGAGTGAGACCAGAGGAGGAGAAGCTCCAAGGGCTGGGAGAGCTGGGAATGTTCACCTGGAGAGACAGCTCCAAGGAGACCTCACACCCACTTCCAGTGCCTGAAGGGGCTCCAGGAGAGCTGGAGAGGGACTGGGGACAAGGGATGGAGAGAGGGACAGGACACAGGGAATGGCTTCCCACTGCCTGAGGGCAGGGATGGATGGGATATTGGGAATTAGGAATTGTTCCCTGTGAGGGTGGGCAGGCCCTGGCACAGGGTGCCCAGAGCAGCTGTGGCTGCCCCTGGATCCCTGGCAGTGCCCAAGGCTAGGCTGGACAGGGCTTGGAGAAGCCTGGACAGTGGAAGGTGTCCCTGCCATGACAGGGGTGGCACTGGATGGGCTTTAGGGTCCCTTTTAACCCAACCCATCCATGACTCTGCACTCACAGCTCGGCCTCCCCCAGAGGCCACGGGATCAGCTTGACCACGCAGTGTCCCTGGGACCAGGCGAACCAGGCCCCGTCGGGGGAGAAGGCGACGCTCCAGGTCTCGCAGCTGGATTTCCAGTCGTAGCGGTGGGGCCGGCCCGGCTTCAGCTCCGCCAGCAGCACCGGCTCCTCTGCGGCGGGACAGCCCCGTTACCCCCAGACCCCCCAAAACCCCCGTCACCTCACACCCCCAGCGGCCCGTGTCCCCGCCCGGCTCCCGCTCACCTCCGCTCGGCTTCATGGTGGCCCCGCCGCCCGCTCGGCCCCGCCGGGCCCGCCCGGCCCAGGGCGGCGGCGGCGGCGGAAGCGGCGGCGCGGGGAGGGGACCTGGAGCCGCCTCCTCCGGCCCCGCCGCCACCGGCACCGCCCCGCGACCGGGATGGGGCGGGAGAGGGCCTGGAACAGACCCCTGAGGGAGAAACGGCGGGAACCGGGGCAGCCACCCCCTCAGGGACCCGGCACCGGGACACCTCCGGCAGTGACACCCTCAGGGACCCACACCGGGACACCTCCGGCAGTGACACCCTGAGAGACCCACACCGGGACACCTCCGGCAGTGACACCCTCAGAGACCCACACCGGGACACCTCCGACAGTGACACCCTCAGGGACCCAACACCCCCACAGGGACACTCCTCGGCAGTGACATAGCCCTGAACCCACACAGGGACACCCCCTGGCAGTGACACCCCCAGAACCCAGCACCTGCTGGATGACACCCCCCAATTCAGCAGCCCCCAAAAGATCAGCACCCCCATATTCATCCCCCTCCAGCAGCCCCCAAGGATCTCATTGTGCCCCCTTTAGCAGCACCCCGATCCCCCCGTGACCCACATCATCCCCCCCAGAATCAGCACCCCATCATCAGCCCCCCAAGAACCAGCGCCCTCCTTTGAGCCCCTCCAGCACCCCCTGGGTGACACCTACCCTGGCAATGCCAGCAGGACACAGCTGGCCAGTCCACCCCTGCACCCCGAATTCCGCAGCCCCCCCAAGCCCCCGCTATGCCTCACCAGGGACCCCAGTGCCCCCCCTCCTCTCTGGCTCAGGGTCCCTGTGCAGCGAGGCCGGGGTGCGGGGAGCGGTGGGATTGGGTGCTGCACCCACAGACACCCCAAGACCTGCTGGAGACCCCCCGGTTTGGCTCAGGGTGTCCCCTCTGAGGGCTGGGGTCACCCGGAGGCCCCTTGGGGATCCCATGCACCTCCTTCCTCCCCTCATCCCCAAGTCCAGTGTCCACCCACTCCCCCCCCTACTTTGGCACTTTGGGGTCCAGACCGAGCCCCTCACCCTGGGGGCACCCACCCCTTGTGACATGACAGAAGCCTCTCACCACAGGTGCCACCGCTCTGCCATGCCCCGTGCCTCAGTTTCCCTGCCTCTAGGACGGAGGGTGGCGATGGGACCCCACGGTGGGCACGGTGCCGCCTCCCCCGCGCTCGCCCTCCGCCCTGTGCCCGCCTGGCGCAGGTGGGAGCGAAGCGGCAGCAAAACCAGCCGAGAAGAGGAAAGAGGAAGAAGCGGCGGTGAGAAGCGGCGGCGGCGGCGGCGGCGGCGGAGGAGGAGGAGGAGGAGGAGGAGGAAGAGGGGGCCGGTGTCGGCAGCCCCGCCGGTGCTTTGCGGGGGCTCAGGGCACCCCCGGGCACCCATCGCAGTCCCCCAGGTGCCAACCCTGAAGTTTGAAGTTCGCCGGCATGGCCAAAACCACCTCGCTGCGCTGCCGGGTGCTGGAGGGGAAGGACCTGCCCGCCAAGGACCTGTGAGTGGCTCGGGGGCTCAGGGCCCCCCTATTTCCCCCAGACCCACCCCGGGAGATGTGGCAGGGAGGGGGTGCTGGGTGCTCTACCCTCTCTGGGTGTTCTCTCCGTACAGTTTCAGGGGGTCTCTGCTTGCAACCATTACCCCCAAAGTGGGGGTCTGGGGTGTGCAGGGACTGCCAGCCCCCCCCCCTCCACCCCCCAGGGGTGTATGATCCCCCCAACCCCTTTAGCATCTCTTTCGTGCCCCCCAGCAGGGTGGGCACAGAGGATCCCCCCAAACATGGGGGTGGCACTGGGGAGGCACAGCTCCTGCACCCCCACCCCTTTTGGGGGTGTGGTGATGAGTGGGGGGTGCAGGGAGACCCCCGCCCGCTCCTGCCCCGGGGACACTGCTCAGTGGAGCTGGCAGTCCCGGATACCTCCGGATGTGCCAGCTTGGCACCGCCGGCCGCTCCCAGGGCTGGGCAGCTGGGAACGGGGCCGTGTCCCTGCCTCAGGTTCTGCCCCCGGGGGGTGTCCCGCTGCGGGGGTCTGGGCACAGCGGGCGATCTGCACAATGATGGGGTGCCCGGTGCTGCTCCCAGCGCCCCCAAACCCAGCTTGAGGCTGTCGTGTGGCTGCAGAGGGGGTCGGGTGAGCCGCTCCCACTTCCCGTCCCGTGGCAGGGACAGAGACTGGGGTCACGTCCCTCATCCGTCTCGGGGTCTCAGTCCTTGTGGAATCACCTCCTGGATATTTGGGCTCCAGCAGCACCCCAGGGCCAGCACCCCTCGGTGCTGCTGCAGCTGCCATAATTGAGCAGAAAGGGGCTTTGCAGGGAGCTGGTGGATGGTCCCTAGATCAAACCCTCATCCCTCCATCCTGTTCTCCCTGCAGAAAGGGTCAGACCCGTGTCACCCTGGCACCGTGCGTTGTCACAGAGACTCGGGCTGGGCTGTGCTGCGGGATAGACAGCGGTACCCGCGGGTGGGTGGCACAGGGACACTGTGATGGCTCGGGGTGACCCACAGCAGGTCCCTCAGCCCAAGGAGAAAAGGCGATGTCCCCATCCCGGCGTCAGGATGGTGTCAGCAGGGCCAGGCTGAGACTGGGCAGCTCAGCTCACCCCCAGGGCTGGTGCCTCACTGTCGGGATTTGAGGTCCCCAGGATGGGGGGGATTCCCGAGTGGGGGCTGATCCTGGGCACCCCCATCCCCTGCCCAGGTCTGGCTCCAGTGATCCCTACTGCGTGGTCAAGGTGGACAACGAGGTGGTGGCCAGGTATGGGGACACTGTCCCACACTGGGAGGGGGCAGGTAGGAGTGGGGATCCTCCCTGGGGGGACAGCCACCTCTGCCATCCCGGTAGGACGGCCACCGTGTGGAAGAGCCTGAACCCTTTTTGGGGTGAGGAAATCACGCTGCTTCTGCCCCGTGGATTCCACAGCCTCACCATCTACGTGCTGGATGAAGACACCATTGGGTAGGGGGACAGTACGGGCAGGGTGGGCACTGGGGACCCACCCGAGGGGTGGCAGGTCCCCTGCAGTGTCCTGCTGTGTCTGTTCCCTCACAGGCAGGACGATGTCATTGGCAAGGTCTCGCTCAGCCACCAGCAGATCTCGGCTGAGCCACAGGGTGAGGGGGGCACAGTGGGGTGGGGGACAGTGGGATCCATGCTGGCACCACGCTGTGCCCACACTGTCCCCCTCGGCAGGCATTGACAGCTGGCTCAGCCTGACACCTGTGAACCCCGACCAGGAGGTGCAGGGTGAGATCCACCTGGAGCTGCGAGTCCCCGAGCGGGGCCACCCACGGGTGCTGCGCTGCCACCTCATCGAGGCCAGGTTGGAGGGCTGGCAGCTCAGGGGGCTGCCACCACCACAGGGTCTTATTTTTGGCAGGAGAGAGGAGAGGAGGGAATGGGGACAGTGTTTGTCCTCCGCTTTCCACACTTGGAAGGATTCTCAGTACACCGGGTTGGGGACATCAGTGGTGCCAATCCACGTGTGACGATGCCATGGGGGCTCAGTGGGAAGTATGTTGCCATCCCTGCTTGGGGACAGGGGCACAGGAGCACCAGGGTTTGTCCCCAGCAGAATGGTTCGTTCTCACACCATGTTTTTGCCCTTTAGTTTCAAAATTTGGGGAAACTGAGGCACTGCCCAGGCTGCCCACCTGGGTTTGGGGTGCAGATATGTGTGCAAGTTGTGCACGCTTTGCATGCACAGGGACACACACGCGGTGATACACACACACAGCTGACAGATGGAGCAGGCAGCAGAGGCAGCATCCCGCTGCCATGGCAACCAAAGCAGCTACCAAGGCAACAGGATGGCCATGGGGACAGGGTGGCCATGGGGACAGCCAGGAGGGACGGCAGCACCCCCACTAGGGACTGGAGGAGGAAGGGCTCCCCTGGAAATGGGAGCACGATCTCCCCAGCATACCCTGGCACCTGCTGGCTGCCCCATATGCCCAGGCGAGCTGGCACAAAGCGGGGACGTGGGGCTGCAGGACCGTGGTGGTGGGGACAAACCCTGCTGACCCCATGTCTTCACAGGGACCTGGCCCCCCGGGACACCTCGGGAACCTCGGACCCCTTTGGCCGGGTGTCGTGCTGCGGGCACACGTTGGAGACAGCCGTGAGTCACTGCTGGGTGCTGCGTGTGGCACCGGGTCCCCCACGGACCCAGGAGGCTCAGGCACCCTCGGGCACCTCGTCCCCTCTGCCACCAGTCCCGGTGCCCCACAGGTGGTGAAGAAAACCCGGTTCCCGCACTGGGATGAGGTGCTGGAGTTCGAGCTGCCGGAGGGGGAGCTGGGAGAGGCTGTGCTGAGCGTGGAGCTTTGGGACTGGGACATCGTGGGCAAGAACGACTTCCTGGGGCGGGTGAGGACCTCGGGGCACACCGGAACGGGGCGGGGTCCTGGGGGCACCTCTGCACCCCCGTGTGGGGTCTGGGTGACCACCGGTTAGGGCCCACCGGGATGGGGGCAGTGCCACATGCAGACCCTGCGTGTCCTGGGCTGTCCCCCAAGGGAGGTGCGGCACAGGGGACTGGAACCCCACCCCCCTATCCAGACCCTGCCTCTGTCCCCCAGGTCGAGTTCTTCTTGGACACCCTCTGCCCAGGCCCCACGAGGGGCTGGTTCCAGCTCCTGCCCTTCCCCAGCACCACTGAGGACCGTGGGTGAGTGCAGGCAGAGGGGACAGGGGGTTGTGACCAGGGCAGAACAAGGTGGCCCCTGTGGAGGGCACAGACCCACGTGAGTCCCCCGTGTCATTGCAGGGGACAGCTGGGTGCCCTGAGGCTGGCAGTGAGGCTGCTGGAGGACACGGTCCTGCCCCCCCACCACTACCAGCCCCTCATCCAGCTCCTCACCGAGCCCATCCTCTGCCCAGCCCAGGTGGGTGCTGGGGCTACAGGGAACTTTGGGGTGACTCCCCCAGTGTGGAGGCCCTGCTGTGCCCACCCTGCCCTCCCCACAGTCCCCTGAGAGCACAGCCCTGGCTGTCCTGGAGGAGGTGACCTCAGGGGAAAGTCGGCAGGACGTGGCCACGAAGCTGGTGAAGCTCTTCTTGGCCCAAGGGCTGGCTGTGCCCCTCCTGGACTACCTCACCACCCGCGAGCTGGCCAGGACCAGTAAGTGCCCGGGGCCACCCCAAGAAACCCCAAGTCAGGGCCACTCCAGATCCCCATGGAGAAAGAGTGAGGACACCAAGGGAGAGGCAGGAAAGGTGCCACATGTCCCTGGGGTTGGGCACACAGGGGACAGCTTGGACGTCACCCTGTGCCCACCTTGCCACAGCCTCTGTGCTCTTCCAGCTGATCCCAACACCCTCTTCCGCTCCAACTCGCTGGCCTCCAAATCCATGGAGCAGTTCATGAAGGTGAGCATGGGAAGGGACACCTCCATGATGTCCCAGCAGGGCGTCTGGGGACAAGGACAGTGCCTTCCCACCCCTTGCAGGTGGTAGGGCTGCCCTACCTGCACGAGGTCCTGAAGCCAGTGGTGAACCGCATCTTTGAGGAGAAGAAATATGTGGAGCTGGACCCCGGCAAGATGGAGCTGAGCCGGGGCAGGTGGGCACAGGTGGATGTCTGGGAGGGGCACAGGGCACCTGGCATGTCCCTGTGTCCCCTGCAGGAAGGGGCCACCTACTGCTGCTGAGCCCATGGGTCACTTCTGGCCAGCTCAGTGTCCCCATTCCTGGTGCCCCTGACCCGGAGGTGTCCCCACAGGAGGATCTCCTTCAAGGGCTCCCTGTCGGAGGCACAGGTGCAGGAGAGCAGCCTGGAGCTGCTGAAGGGCTACCTGGGGGACATCATGGAGGCCATCGTGGGCTCGGTGGACAAGTGTCCCCTCCCCATGAGGGTGGCCTTCAAGCAGCTCCGCAGGCGGGTGGAGGAGCGATTCCCCTCGGCACAGCACGAGGTGGGGCCCACGGTGGGGCTGGGGGTCTGCACGGCCCCAGGACAACCACCCCAAGCTCTGAGCTGTCCCCGTCCCCATCCAGGAGGTCCGGTACTTCTCCATCAGTGGGTTCCTCTTCCTTCGCTTCTTTGCTCCTGCTGTCCTCACCCCAAAGCTCTTTGGGCTCCGGGAGCAGCACGCGGAGCCCTGCACCGGCCGCACACTCCTGCTGCTCGCCAAGGTGGGGGACAGCATGGGGACACCGGGAAGGGGTGGGGACACTGGGGAGGGGTGGGGACCTTGGAGAAGGATGGGTCACAAGGGAGGGATGGGGACCTTGGAGAAGGATGGGTCACCAGGGAGGGATGGGGACCTTAGAAAGGCATGTGAACACCAGGGAGGGATAGGGACCTTGGAGAGGAATGGGGACCCATGGGAAGGGATGGAGACACCAGGGAGGGGTGGGGACCTTGGAGACGGCTGAGGACATTGGCAAGGGAATGAGGATCCTTGGGGAGGGTGGGAGTCCTGGGGAGGGATGCAAACACCAGGGAGGGATGGGAACACTTGGAGAGGGATAAGGATCCTTGGGGATTAATGGGGACCCTTGGGGTGGGTGAGGGATGTGCAGAGGGATGGGGACCACTGGGAAAGACAAGGATTGTGGGGAGAGCTGGGGAGCCCAGGGAGAGTTTGGGACTTCAGGGAGAAACCCCAGGAAGGACAGAAACTTCTGTGAGTGATGTGGACTCTGCAGAGAGATGGGAACCCACAAGGAACGGAGAGGCCAGAAAGGGACGAGACCCTGGGGAGGGACAGAAACCCCAGGGCATGATGGGGACCCCAAGCAGGGCAGAGTCATTCCTGCCCCTGTGCCACACACCCTGGGCTGGCTCCTTCCTGTGCCACTTGAGACCAGTCCTGCCTGTCCCCAGGCTGTGGCACCACAAGCTGAGCACAGCACAAGGGCAGAATTTGGGTCCCATCACCCCTCCAGCTGCTCCACTTTTCCCACCCCAACCCCTGAGCCCTTGGGGTCCAGGGGAGCAGCCAGGGTGGTGCAGGGGGTCACACCAGCAGGGACACAGCAGTGTGACCCCTTCCCTGCGTGGGACAGGCTCTGCAGAGCATCGGGAACCTGGGGCTGCAGCTGGGGCAGGGCAAGGAGCCGTGGATGGCCCCGCTGAACGCTGTCCTCCTGCCCAGTGTCACCCGTGTCCGGGCCTTTCTGGATGCCCTGGTCACCGTGGGTGAGCGGGGACAGAGGGCAGGGAGGGGACATTGCTGGTGCCGGGTCAGTGGCATCACCCTGCTGCTGCCAGGAGCACCATCGGGCTGTGGGAGGTGGTGGCACTTGGGGTGACACTGCTCCCTTCCTGCCACGACCACAGTGGACGAGGTGCCAGTGCCGCAGGGACATTCCCAGCCCTCGGCCACCATCAAGGAGGGTCCCCTGCACACCTGCCCAGAGGGGGGGGCAGCACTGCTGCCCCGCTTCTCCTTCAAGAAGAGGCACTTCAGGCTCAGCACCCAGGCCCTGGCCTATGCCAAGGTGCCCCAGGGGCAGGTGGGTGATGCCCTGGACCCCTACCCTGGGGTGCTGGGTGCCCAGGGCTGGGGGGAAGGACGTGGGCACAGATTTTGGGGTGTTTTGGGGTATCCAGGTACACTGCTCCATCCCAGTGGAACAGGTGGGGGATATGGATGTGGGTGCAGATGTTTTGGGGTGTTTGGCATTCCCCACATATTCCATGAATATGGACAATGCATATGGACATGGGTACAGATTTTGGGGTGTTTGGGGGTCCCCAGGTGCTCGGCTCCATCCCGGTGGAGCAGATCCGGGCAGTGGAGCAGGTGGACAAGGGCACCTTCCAGCACCCCCACGTCCTGCAGGTGGTGGCACAGGATGGCACCGGGCAGCTCCACACCACCTACCTCCAGTGCAAGGTGGGTGATCTCACCCCACCCCAGCACCCCAAAAGCCCCGGAACCCCCCACCACAGCACCCTGGGGGCCCCCCTCCCCTGCACCCAGCCATGGGACAATGAGAGTGGTCCCAAATCCAGCTGTACCCAGGCTGTACTGGGAGCACTGGGAGTACTGAGGTCAAGGGGCTAACTGGGTATACTGGGGAAGCTGGGGTGTCCTACCCCGGCTGTACTGGGGTCACTGGGGTACCAGCCCTGTTTGTACTGGGGTCACTGGGGTACCCTGGCTCCTGCAGCCCCATCTCCCCTCATTTCCTCCCGGGCAGCTTTGCCACCAAACCGTCACTCCTGTCCTCCAGCCCTGGTGCCCATCCCTTCCTCCTCCCTCCTCCTTGTCCCCGCAGAGCGCCCCGGAGCTGTGGCAGTGGCTGTGGGCGCTGCGCCAGGCCACCAGCGCCAACCGCGACATGCTGCCCACGTGCCACCCCGGCACCTTCCACGCCGGCCGCTGGACCTGCTGCCTGCAGCCCACCCGTGCCGGTAGGACTGGGGGTGCCTGGGCTCGGGGTGCCCTGGAGGGGGGTGTCGGTGTCGCCGTGTCGCCACTGCTGTCGTTGGCAGTGCCCGGGTGCAGCCGTACCCACAGCGCGGTGCTGCTGGGGGAGTGGAGCGACCTTGGGGACCTTGGGGACCCCGCGGTTCCTTTACAGAGCCTCTACGGGCACCTGCGGTGAGCCCGGGGACGGGGGGTCCCGGGGGTCTTTTGAGTGCCGGTGGGCAGGGAGGGAGGCTGCTGAGGGTCCCTGTCCCAAAGGCTGGTGGGGATTGGGAGTCCTGAGGGCGAATATGGGGGGCCTGAGGTCCTTTAGGGGGTGGTGGGCAGGGTGGCAGTGTGTGCAGGGTCCTTGTCCCCAAGGACAGTGGGAGTCGGGGGTCACAGGGTCCTTTGGGTGCTGACAGGCATGGTGGGACCCTGCTGTGGGTCCCTTCCTGCGGGGTGGTGGCGACCAGGGCTCCAGAGGGGGGCACAGGGGTCCAGGGGACATTTAGGGGTCGGTGGGCAAGGTGGGAGTGTCCTGAGGTCCCTGTCCCCCAGCACGGTGGGAGCTGGCTGCTCCGGGGTCCTTTGGGTGCCGGAGGGCAGGGGGGGTGTCCTGAGGGTCCCTGTCCTGCAGGGCAGCGCTGGCCGGGGGTCCCACGGGCAGCGCGGTGGCCGGGCCCCCCCGCCCGGGCCAGGCAGGTACGGGAGCCCCGCGGGGCACTGGGGGGGCCATGGGGACCCGGGGGGGGCTGGCACACGCAGGCAGCGCCCGCAGACCCCTGCGGGCACCACAGGGCACTGCTTCGGCTCCTTCCACGAGGGGACAGCAGATACACGCGGATAGGGGACACGGGGACACGGGGACACACGCAGTCCGGGAGGCTGGCGGGTGGTAGGGGCACGGGTGGGATGTGACGGGACGGGGGGACCGGGAGGGGAAGGGGACGGGTGTGGGGGCTGGGGGACACCACGGGTGGGTGTCGGGGGTGGATGCGGGGCTGTGGGAGGGAAATGCCGCGGGTGGGTGCCAGGGGGGCAGGCAGGGGGGTGAGGAGCGCGGGTGGGTGCCACAGGTGGCTGTGGGGCGCTGACCCCACCCTGGGGTGCAGGGGCACCCGCTGGGGACAGGCTGCAGGAGGTGCTGCGAGACCTGGACATCGCCCACGACGCCTTCACCCACGGCGACGAGACCCCAGAGCCACCCCCAAGTCCCCTCCCTGTCCCCAGACCCCCGGCACCCCCCAGCCTCCCCGCCTCAGCCCACACCGGGAGGGGCAGGGACTCCAGCGGGGCCACAGAGGGGACGCGGGGACAGCAGCCCGGCACGGGGTGTATTCTGTAACACAGAGATGTACATGGCACCGGCTGTGCGCGGCTCCCTGGGGCAGCGGCGGGTGACACGGGTGACACGGGTGGCACAGACGCGCAAAGAGGCCACGGGTAGAAAAAGACCACGACGCTATCGCCACGAGAGCGGGGCGAGCCGGGACGGGACGGGACGGGGCGACAGACAGACACACACGGGGACACGCGGTGGGCGGCACCGGGTGGCCCGGGACGGGGGACGAGCCCGCCGGGCGGGGCTGCGGTGAAGCGGCGCAGGCGGCGGCGGCACGGGCGGGGCCGGGGGAGCCCTGAGCCCGGCCTCAGTCCTTCAGGGTGGCCTCGGACACGCCCTGGGCCAGCAGCTCGGCCAGGACGTTGTCCAGGTAGTTGGGGTCGGGGTAGCCGTGCCCCGTCAGGTTGGAGCCGAACTCGGTCTTGTGGTGGATCTCGTTCCACACCACCGTGTCCGACTCGCCCGTGGTGTTGGAGGTGCCGATGGTGAAGATGAGCCGCCGGTCCCAGGCCACGATCAGCAGCTTCAGCACCTGCGGCGGGCACGGCCGTGGCTCACGCAGCCGGCACCCCCACCCAGCCTGGCAAGGACTGGCACAGCCACCCAGCACGGGCACAGCACAGCCTCAGCCCCCAGGGTGGGATTCGGCACGGTGCCCACAGGATGCCACCTTTCCTTGTGGTGCTCCCCACCCCATCCACAAGCAGTGCAGCTGCAGCCTCCCTATCCTATCCTATCCTATCCTATCCTATCCTATCCTATCCTATCCTATCCTATCCTATCCCATCCCTTTTCTTCCTCACCCCATCCCATTCCTTCCCATCCCATTCATTCTCCTTCCACCCCATTCTATTCTCCTCATTCTTTCTCTTCCCATCTCATCCCATCCTTTCTCTCCTCATCCCATCCCACCCATTCCTAACCATCCCACCCCATCCCATCCCTTCCCTTCCCCACCCCATCCCACTCCCCTTCCCATCCATCCTCCTTCCATCCCACCCCCTCCCATTTTGTGCCATCCTATCTCATTCCGTCCCTGCTATTCTCCCCACCCCACCCCTCGGGGTCTCACCTTCCTGCCCTTCTCGTTGTCGGGCAGGTAGCAGTGCCGTGGGAAGCCTCGTGCCGTGAATTTCTTCCCGGGATTGGGATGCTCCGGGCCCTGGGTGGGTGTGGGGACAGGAGGTGAGCAGGGACATGGGGGGTGTCACCAGTCCGCTGGGGGGTTCCCCCTCACCTGGATGCCGGTGGGGATGTCGTAGACGATCCGGATGGTTTTGGAGTCGGTGTATCCCGGGAGGGAGTGGGGGATGAGGTGGAACTCCATCTTCCCGGGGGGCTGCGTGCCCGTCTTCTCCCCGTAAATGGCCTTACAGGTGGGGCACTGCAGGCTCCCGTCCTGGGGCACCACGGGGGCCTCAGGGGTGGCACCCACCCAGCACCCACCTGGACCCCCCAGCACCCACCTGGCACCTACCTGGACCCTCCCAGGACCCACCTGGACCCCCCCCAGCACTCCTCAACACCCACCCAGCACCCACCTGGACCCCACCCAGCACCCAGCCAACACCTACCCATCACCCACCCAATGCCCACACCCACTCCAACACCCACCCAATCCCCCAAACCCAGCCAGCACCTACCTGGAACATTCCAGAACTCCCCAGCCCGCACCCAGAAGCCCTCACACCCACCCAGCACCCACATGGAACCCCCCAGCACCCACCCAGCCCTCCCAGCACCCCCGACACGCAGGCAGCCCCGGGCGCTCCGACCTTGTTGCCGTTGTTGTACATGGCCAGCAGGCACAGCAGGTGGTACATGTGCCCGCACTTGCCCAGCTTGCCCACCAGCTCGGGCTTGATGCCCCTGGGGCTCAGCACGCCCTCGTAGCCGGAGGAGGTGACCAGCCGCTCCATGCAGATGGTGCAATCCTGCCGGGAACGACATCAGCATTCCGGGGGGATGAGGGGTCACCCCCGGCGCTCTGCCCGAGCCTCCCGGAGCCCCCCAAACCCCCCACTCACCTCATCCGGGGGGTTCTTCACCTTCTGGATGTAGCGGCGCACCACGTCCTCGGGGGTCTTACCTGAGGGCAATGCCATCAGAGCCCGCCCGCGGTGTCACAACCCCCCTGCCACGGGACGGGGACAGCCCTGCCACCCCCTGCCAGCACGGCAGGGACACGCGTGGCACAAAGCAGCGATGGGCACCACCCCACGCAAACCTCTGGGTGTCTCTCACTTCCCCCTCCGTGTCCCCTGTCCCTGACCCCGCTGGGACATTGGTGGCTCCTTACTCTTCTTGAGCTGCTTCTTTTTGGTTTTCCTGCAGATGCCGTTGACGCCGGGGACAGGCTTGATGTCGTTCTTGCTGACGGGCGGGGGGTGCAGGATGGGTTTGGGGGCGCGGGTCAGGCACACGGGCAGCCCGGCGGCGCACATGAGGATCCCCGTCATCCCTGCGCCGGGAGAGCGTCTGTCTGTCCGTCCTGCCCACCCCCTGACAGCGTCCCCCGCTCCCCGCCCACGGTGTCACCCCGCAGTGACACCCAGCGCTGGCCGGAGCCCGCTTACCTGCGAGGGCGGGATGGACGGGGCCGGTGCCGTTCAGGTTCTTGACCGGGAGCGCTGGGACCCTGCAGGACATGGGACAGGAAGGGGCTCAGCCGGGCCGGCAGGGCTGGCACTGTCCCCTCCCGCATGGCATGGCCCCAGAGCAGTGTCCTCCCCATGGGACACAGGGCAGTGTCCCCTGGGGAGTGCTGGCACTGTCCCCAGGCAGTGTCCTGCCCACCAGACACAGGGTAAGGTGTCCCCTCACCAGCTTGGAGGGCTGCTGTCCCATCCCAGGGGACTGTCACCCAGTGCCACCTGTCCATCTCTGGGCACCCAACGGCACTGGTGGCATCCTATCCTCCTCGGCCCAGGGTGGAGACCTTGCCAGGGTATCCCAGTAGTGACACCCATGTCCCACACCCCCGCAGGGACGTGCCACCACTCGTGTGCCCCCCAGGGACCCCCACCCTCCTGGGGCTGCCAGCAGCAGGTGGCACTGGTGTCACCGTGCCCAGGGCAGGGACTGGTGTGTCGGGGACAGGGCTGGAAGGGGACGTGTCCATAGGGGTGGGATGGACAGAGGGAAGGAAGGAGGGATGGACAGATGGATGTGGGACTGGGAGGGAGGGCCCCCAGCAGGGAGGGCATCACCCCTCCCTGATCCCAAAATCCCGTCCCACCCCAGCCGTGGCAGGGATGAGTTCAGCAGGCTCAGCCGCACACGAGGGCGTTTTCCCTCATTCCCAAAGCTCCTCTAGCCACACCAAGGCCAGGGCAGCCATGGGGGCCCAGCCCCTCCTCCCTGTCCACAGGTATGTGCCAGGACAGGGACAGCAATGGGGACAGGGACAAGGACTGCTCAGCCCAGCACACAGAAGGAAAGCAGGACGTCATCAGGGGAAGGAAATGTGCCAGGAGCTGCTGGGGGCTCAGAGAAGCCACCTGTCCCCCCAGCCTAGTGCTGACAGCTCCGAGGGGACACCAGGCCAACCCACCACGGGGTACAGCCATGGAGATGTGGGTGCTGGGACAGGGACACCCAGCAGGACACAATTCCAGGGGTCTGCTTGCCCCCTGGACCCCCCTGGTGAATCATTCCCACCACGGAAGGGACACTGAGGCTGTGGCCTCTCCCCACAGCCGTGCCCTCCCAGGGATCTGCCTGGTGGCATCAGGCCAGGACCTGGGTCACACAGCCCATGCTGGCCTTGGGGGCACCATTCCCCTGGGACCAGGCACTCCATGTGCTCTAGCTGCCATGGATAGCGTGGCACGGCCTGGCACAGCATGGCACAGCATGGCATGGCACTGCACGGATCACCACATCCCCTCTGCAGGGATCCAAGCACCACGAGGACCACCCGGGTGTCCCCCCCAGCACCCACGGTGGTGACCCCGGGGCCGGAGGTGACACAGTGTCACAAGAGCTGGGGCTGCCCGCAAGGCGACAGCAGGGGACGAGCCACCCCCATCACCCCTTTTGCCCCTCTGTGTGCCCATCCCTGCATCCCCCCCGCCTCGGTGACACCCCGCTCGTCCCCTCCCCACCCTCCCAGCTTACCCGGGGGGGACAGCGGCCCTGGCGCCCAGCCCAGCCCCGCGCTGCGTCCCGGGCCGGTTGAGGTTGTTGAGGCCGGGCAGCGCCGCGCTGGGCACGCCCTGCCCGGGGGCAAACCCCGCGGCCACCCGCAGCCCTTCACCCTTGGCCGAGCCCCCCGCCACCACCGCCGGCGCCGCGGTCCCCGCCGGCCACAGCGCTCCCCCGGCGAAGGTGCTGCTCTGGCGGACGGCGCCGGGGTAGAGTTTGCGGCGCTGGGACGCCAGGATGGCGTTGGAGGCGGCGCGGGTGCTGTTGACCAGCAGGCACTGGGGGCACGAGCAGGGCGTGCCCGTGCTGGCGCCCACCGGCCAGGACTGGGATTTGGGGATGGAGCCCATGGTGAGCGGGTAGGCCAGGTCCATGCGGCGCCGCAGCCGCCGCTTGCGCTGCGTTTGCCGGTTCATTTGGGACATGCTGCTGAAGTAGATGAGGTAGCAGAAGCCCAGGGAGGAGAGGTCCAGCCAGGGGTGCTGCTTCTCGTAGGCGTTCTGGATGGTGATGCAGATGTCCATGTCGTAGGGAGTCCAGGAGTTGTTGTCGTTCTCCCACTCCCACACGATTCCCTTCCCCGGTGCTGAGGAGGGGTCGTAGAAGTTCCTCCGGACGGGGCGCATGGTCCCTGGGGACACAGAGATGGGGGGCGACACGGGGGGGGGACATTTAGACATCCCCTGTCCATCTTCCAGCATGGCATCCCGCAGGGACTGGGGTACAGAGGCACCTTGGGGTGCAACAGCCATTCTGCCCCTTCACTGAAGTCCCCATTGCACCCCAAAAGTGTTTCCCTAGGGATGAATCCAGCCCTCATCCTGCCACTGGTGACAGTGGCTCGGACTGCCACCCCTCAGGATCATCCTCCTGAATGTCCGGGGAAGGGCGATGCTGCTCAGCCAATGTGGGAAATTGATTTGTGGAGAATTCTCCAAGGTGAGAATGCAAAATTTGTAGAGAATTCTCTCACCCTTCACATGAGACTGAAAATAGAATAAAAGTTTTCAAAAACGCCTCTCAGTTATTCTACCTCTGGGTCAGAAAAGGGCATAATCCAACAAATCCTTGTGCTTTCCCCAGCTTTTTTCCATCCCTCTGGTCCAAGCCCTTCCCCACCCTGCTGTCCCCGTGGCCATCCCGGGGCAGGGGAAGCATTTCCCGGTCAGGAGAGGTTTCCTGACAGCTGCTGGCTCTGGCAGTGACACAGCCAGGGATTGTCCCACACGGCCCAATCCCGGCCCCTCGCCGCTTGTTTGGGACGGAGCTGGATCCCGCAGCCCCTCTGGAGCTCCCCAGGAGCAGGGAGGCATCGCAGCCCTCTCCTCGAGTGCCCCCCCGGCACGGGGCCTGTCTATCCCCTCGCCGGCACCGTTTGCCCAGCTCGATTAACGGCGCTAATTAACGGTCATTAATCATCGGCCGCATCAGGCAGCAGAGCCAGGCCCCAGCTGCCGCCTTGTGCTGAGGCAGCTCTGCCGGGGCCGCGGGAGGGGAGCGGGGGGGCCCTGCTGCCCGCCCCTGCCCGCACCCCAAATCCCACTGCTGGCTCCAGGCCACCCACTGCCCACTGCCCCCAGCCCCACTGCCCTCCAACCCCACTGCCCACTGCCCTCCAACCCCACTGCCCACTGCCCTCCAACCCCACTGCCCACTGCCCTCCAACCCCACTGCCCACTGCCCTCCAACCCCACTGCCCACTGCCCTCCAACCCCACTGCCCACTGCCCTCCAACCCCACTGCCCACTGCCCTCCAACCCCACTGCCCACTGCCCTCCAACCCCACTGCCCACTGCCCTCCAACCCCACTGCCCACTGCCCTCCAACCCCACTGCCCACTGCCCTCCAACCCCACTGCCCACTGCCCTCCAACCCCACTGCCCACTGCCCTCCAACCCCACTGCCCACTGCCCTCCAACCCCACTGCCCACTGCCCTCCAACCCCACTGCCCACTGCCCTCCAACCCCACTGCCCACTGCCCTCCAACCCCACTGCCCACTGCCCTCCAACCCCACTGCCCACTGCCCTCCAACCCCACTGCCCACTGCCCTCCAACCCCACTGCCCACTGCCCTCCAACCCCACTGCCCACTGCCCTCCAACCCCACTGCCCACTGCCCTCCAACCCCACTGCCCACTGCCCTCCAACCCCACTGCCCACTGCCCTCCAACCCCACTGCCCACTGCCCACTGCCCCACTGCCCCCCAGCCCCACTGCCCACTGCCCTCCAGCCCCATCCCACTGCTCACTCTTGTCCAAATCCCATATCCCACCCATAAACACATCCTGGACCCACTGGTCCTTGCAAATGCATCCCACATCCCCCTGCCCCTCACATCCCCATCCCAAACCCCACATCCCCATCCCAAATCCCACAAAATGCCCCTCACATCCCCATCCCAAACCCCACATCCCCATTCCAAATCCCACAAAATGCCCCTCACATCCCCATCCCAAACCCCACAAAATGCCTCTTACATCCCACATCCCCAGAGGATGAAGGACCAGCCCATTTCCCTTGGCACACACAGCTCCCAGTCCCCAAGGGCCAGCAGCTGTCCCCAGCCATGCCACAGCCACAGGGCCAAGCCAGTGTCCCCAGGGCCTCTGGGAGGGGCCGCACATCCCCGCTCTCAGAACGGGGTCACCTCGTTTCACTTGCCACTGGGTTTCTCTGTCCCCAGGCACTGTGTGGGCCAAGCCCCCTGAGCCCCCAGCCTCCTGCCAACCTTCCCCGTGTCCCCATGTCACAGCAGGCACCGGGAGCACCCTCAGCTCAGGGGACCCTCTTGTCCCCGAGCACCACGAGCCACGTGGCAGCCTCCAAACCCTGGGCCCCACCCCTGGGGAGAGGTGATGGATAGAGATGGACACAGGGAGGGGGTACACAGGGAACACAGTGTGAGGACAGTGGCTATGTCCCCTGCCATGACACCCCTGGGGACATCGAGGTCCCTCTCTCCGCATCCCTGTCCCCAAGTCCTGCTGGCACAGGGACTGTGGTACCCAGGGACATCCTGGCAAGAGTTGTTTTGTCACCACAAATCCCTTCGTGGCCCCACCACGGGCACAAGTCCCCAAGGGATACCCAGCACTGTGGCCATGGGATGTGATGCCAGCTGCTGTCAGAGGATGGGTCCTGGCCAAAGCTGGCAGGAGGTGGCATGGGGACAGCCAGGGTGTCCCGGTGGCTCCCGCAGCTCTGAGTCAGCACAGACCCTCCGGGTCGTGCCGGTGTCCTCGCTGACTCAGGGCTGCAGGTGCCAAGCTGCCCTTTGCCAAGTCCGTGACCAGCTGGGGATGGATTCAGAGCCAGGCTGGATGGCAGAGGCAGGTGGCACATCCCTGCTTCGGTCCCCATCTCAGTCCCCAGCCCACGGCCCCAGCCCCACACTCGGGGTCACCTGGCATCACTGGGGACTAGGAGTGATGGCATCAGTGGCCAGGCAGAGGTGCCACAACCACGGGGGTCCTGCTGTGGGTGTCCCCAGACAAGCCCAGGGGGTGTCATCTGAGGTGTGGCAGGTCCCCTGCCTGCTCTGCCTGGCCTGGACCGGATCCTGCCCCGGGCAAGGATGCAGGTATGGGCAGGAATGCACCCACAATGGCACATCCCCCACAGCACAGCCAGCACGTGCTGGTTTAATGGGTCACACTGTGACAGGGACACGTTTAATGGGGTCTGGGCTCGGTCCCAGTGTGGGATCAGCTCTGATTTCCCACAGGATTCGTGGCCTGGATGTGCTGCTGCAGCACCAACAGCACAGCTGCAGCCATCCCAGTGCCCAGCACTGCTCCCAGGGTCCAACAGGGGCCTCCCCACTCCCCTGGGCATGGAGCAGCTTGGAGGGGAAGATGAGGGGACAGTGGGACACTGGGACACAGCACAGCACCCACGGAGGGGACAGGGCATGGAGGGATGTGGGGACATGTTCCTCGGGGATGGGGGTCCATGGTGGATGGGAAAGGAAAGGGATGGAGGAGCCTGGAGAGGCCCATGGGGGCACTGGAGCCCTGGAGAGTGAGGGGAGGAGAGAGGGAACAGATGGATGGACAGATGGAGGGAGGGATGGAGGGATACAGGAATGAAGTGATAGACAAGTCACAGGGAAGGAAGGAAGGAAGGAAGGAAGGAAGGAAGGAAGGAAGGAAGGAAGGAAGGAATTAAAGACAGATCCATGGATGAATAGAACAACAGACAGATAGACACAGGGACAGGGAAGGGATGAAGGGATGGATGGGAGGATGGAGGGATGGTAGGAAGGAAGGAAAGATGGAAGGACAGAGGAAAATATGGTGGGATAGAAGGACAGAGGGAGGGAGGGAGGGAGGGATGTGCCAGTGGGTGGAAGGATGGATGATGGATGATGGATGATGGATGGATGGATGGATGATAGAAGGAGAGAGAAGGGCAGTGAAGGCTGTGTGGATGGATGGCTGCATGGACGGATGGACAGATGGAAGGACGGACGGGTGGCTGGATGTTCCTGGCTCGATGCCAAGCTCTTACCCGTGTCCTGCCGGAACTGATGCATGGACTGGAGGTCGATGACGTAGGGCGCCAGCTGGACATCGACCTGTCCCAGCACCACGCTGCCACGGGCGTCCTCCTTCAGCACGTTCTCGATGTGGTGGCACACGGCGGCCGAGTAGGGCCGCCAGCGCCCGTGCTCGTTCAGCCACTCCCACACCACCACGCGGGCTACGTTTTGTGGGGGGAACCCCAGGCCCCCCGAGGCCAGCATGGCCCCCGAGCCCTGCCGTGCCATGCCCTGGGGACGGCGGCTCAGCCCCGCGCGGGGGTCACCCGGGGCCCCTCCAAATGCTGCTCCCGGCTGCCGCCGGCTGCGGGCCCCGGGGCTCAGCGGAGCCGGCGCTGCGGGGCTCTGCAGAGGCGGCTGCTGCCAGCCAGGTCCCCGAGGTCCCCGAGCCGCCCGGTCCCGCTCCCCCGAGGCCGCCGCGCGGGGCTGGGGCCATCCATCACCCGGCACGTCTTCCCCGGCTCTTCCTCCTCCCCGCGGTGCTGCTGGCAGGGCTCAGGCTCCAAAAAGCCACCAGGACCTCGCAGACTGCGTCGGCTGGAGGGTGGCGGTGTTTGTCAACGGTGATGGGGACACACAGCCACGGTGCTGTCCCCGAGACACCCACTCCTCCTCTTCCTCCTCGTGTCCTGCTGCTCAGCCCACGTCCTCGGCGGCTCCACGGCTGTCCCCGCCGCCCAGCACGTCACTGGTGGCAAGTGAGGGGGGTGTCACCTGCAAAACAGGGCCACAGCGCGGGTCACCCCGGGCACCGCCAGGCGGGTGGCAGCTGGGGGCCCGTGCCCGTCGCCCCGCAGAGCCGGAGGGCAGCGAGGCCGCGGTGCCCGCAGCCCTGGCAGCGTGGGCTGCTTGCCAACCCCGGCAGGCTGCCCGCCTCCAGCATGACAGAGGGGACAACGGGGACAGGGGGGGACGGGCCACCCTGCTGACGGCCCTGGGGGGCTGCTGGGGGTCCCACGAGCCCGGGAAGCCTCATCGCTCCCCGCGCCGGGGCTTTGGGTGCCGGGGAGCCCGCGGGCCCTGGATCCCGCTCCAGCCGCCGCTGATTTATGATCTGCACTGCAGGCATCGGGCTGGGGGTGATCCCGGCCCCCCGCTCCCGGCCGGCCCCGAGCCCACCCACGGCAGCCCCCAGCCCCACGGCGGCGGGTGGGGGACCCGCGCAAGGGGGGATTCGCTGCACAAACAGGCGACAGACAGAGGGACAGCCACGGCCGGGCACACACAGACACCCTGACACGGAGAGACACGGGCACACGCGCTGGCACACGCGCAGCCGGTGACACGGACAGACAGCGGGACCGACAGAGGCGCGCGGACGGACACGGGGAGCCACGGCAGCACAAAAACCCCCCCGGACACACGCACGGGCACCGCTCCGGCTCGGCTGTGCACACACGCACCGCGCCCCCCACACGCGTGTGCGCCCGGCCCCGCGCCCGCCGTGACCCCGAGCACCCCCGGCGGAGGGGGGGACCCTCACCCCAGCCCTGAGCCCCCCGGGACCGCGCGGTGGGGACGATCCCCGGGGCCAACAGCTCCCCCAAAAAGGGCCCGGCTGCTCTTCGTGGAGGGGGGGTTGAAACACCAGGCCTGGCCCCCGTGCACGGTGTCCCCCCCCCCGCGGCACGGCAGCCCCCGGTGCAGGGTGCCCCGCCGGTGGCCGATCCCCCGCGATGCACGGCAGCCCCCGGGCCGCCGGCGCACGGCCCCCCCGGCGCACGGTATCCCCGAGCACGGCAGGCTCTCCCCGCTCGGTGCCTGTTGTGTGCCCCCCCGGCGCACGGTCCCCCCCGATGCACAGCAGCCCCCATCCCTCCGGCGCACGGTCCCCCCGAGGCACGGCAGCCCCGGCTCCCCAGGCAGCCACCGACACCGGCACCGGCGGCGCGCACGGCCGCGGGCACCGAGCCGGGAACGAGCGCCGGGAACGCGCGCCGGGGAGCGGGGGCACGCACGGGGGAGCGGGCATCAGCACCGGGATCGGGAATACGCACAGGAAACCGGGCATCGGCATCGGCATCGGGAATACGCATGGGGGACAGGGCATCGGCACCGAGATCGGGAATACGCACGGGGGACCGGGCATTGGCACCGGAGGCGCGCATCGGGACCGGGGTCACGGTCGGGGAAGCGGGAACACGCACCGGGGACACGCACTGGGACCGGGTGCCTGCACCGGGGACACGCGCGGGGGTTGGGCTGTCTGCACCGGGAACCCGCCCTGGGATCGGGCACCCACACCGGGGCCAGGCACTCGCGGCGGGGACACACGCTGGGCACTGTGGGGACACCCTTGGGACACGTAGGGGACCAGGTATCTGCACCGGGGACCTGTACTGCGTGTGGGCAGCCACAGTGGGGACACAGCAGGACGAGGGACACCCACCATGACTGGCCACCCACCGCGGGGACACACACTGGGGACTGGGCATCTGCACTGGGGCCGGGCACCCCGACTGGGGACACACACTGGATGTCCCCAAGGGCGGCTGTCCCCCAGGTGTACCACCCTGCTTGAGGGGACGCTTTGTCCCCCCTTAGCACAGGTGTTTCCCACAGCCTCGTGGGGAAACTGAGGCACAGGAGGCGGCAGGAGGCCCTGAGCCACAAAGGCACCCCAATATCTGTCACCTTCAGCCCAAGGGCTCGTGGCTCTGCCTTCCAAGGGACAGATCTGAGAACAGATGTGGGGATGGGAGCTGTCACTCCAGCTGAGACCATGAAGGGACACATCTAGAGGCAGGGGAGTTGTCATGGCTGTGCCCATGGCAGGACAGATTTGGGGACAGGGGAGTTGACACCGTGGTTGTACCCATGGAGAGACATTTGGGACAGATATGGGGACAGGAGAGTTGTCACTGTGGTTTTGCCTGTTGGGGACAGTTTGGGTTAGGGTTGGGTTAGGGGCCGGGCCGCAATGGCCGCGGTGGCCTCGCAGTGCCACCTGGTGGCTTCGGGCACGTGGGGGGTCCCGGGTCGGGCATGGGGACACCCACCCGTTCCCGTTCCTGTCCCCACGGTGAGGCACTCGCCCCCTGCCAGCCAGCACGGGCAGGGCCACCCGCTGCCACCGGGGCAATGAGCTGAGCTAGGGTCTCATGCGGGGCTGGCACGGGACAGGGACACGGCATGGGGACATGAAGATGGGATGGGGACACGGAGACAGGACAGCGATCCAGAAATGGGACATGGCAGAAGGACCTGGAGCTGGGGTGGGGACACGGCATGGGGACAGAGCTGGCTCATGCCATGGGGACATGGCAGGGACAGGGGGACACAAATCCAGGGCAGGCCCATGGCATTGGGGACCTGCAGCCAGAGCAGGAACACGGAGCTGGGACTTGATAGGGGGACATGAAGCTGTGATGGGAACACAGAGGTGGGACAGGGCCATGGCACAGGGACCTGAAGCCACCCCAAGGAGCCCTGGAGGGGCTCAAGCCATCAGAGAGGGGGTGAACCCAGAGCCGGGTGGGTGTCATTTAGGGCCTTGGGGACAAGACCCTGTGCAGCTGAGGCTGGGCCCTACATCCTGTGGGGTCACACACGTGCTTCACCCGGTGCAAACGCCTGTCCCCACTCAGGGCCCCCCCGGGCCCGGGCGCCGCCACTGCCGTGTTTAGTCTGAGCAGGAGCGTGGGTGACCTTCGGCTCCCGCGGCACCCACGAGGGTAAACAGCACCGGGGCCCCGCCTCAAGGACACCCGGGGGGGCCGCAGGGGCGCGCGTGACTCCAAGGGGCGCCCATGGGTGGGGGTCCCTGGGGGGGGATCCCATGGGTGGGGGTCCCTGGGGGTAGCGCTCCAGCGCTGGGTGCTCCTGTGTGCCCACCACGGGTGACTGGGCAGGGAGGGGGATGCGCTGGGGAGACCCCCACCCACAGCCCACAGAGGACAAGGTGGGGGGTCCCGGGGTGCTGCCACTGCAGGGATGTGTCCCCAGAAAGACAGACAGACAGAGTCTGTAGGGCCCCCCGGCGGGGACCACCCGCGCACACCCATGTGCACACACACACACACACTTGCACGCCCCGACACGGGGACCACACACACGCACACACACATGGCAGAGGCAGCTGGAAGAACAGCAGGAGACAGACAGACAGACAGACAGACGGACAGACAAAGAGGCAGGCAGGCAGGCAGATAGGAGGGTGGGTGGTGGGTGAGCACACGCCCGGGCCGTGCGCACACACGCAGACACAAACACACCTGGGTATGCACACGCGTATGTGAATCCGTGGGCACACACGCGTGGATTTGCGTGTGTATAAAAATGTGTAAAGCAACGGACAAATGTGAATTTCGTGCGCACACGCGTGTGTAAATCCACGCGCACGCACAGGCATGCACACGCAGGCTCCCGCACACGCGTGTGTCCCCAATCGCTCCCACGGGGACCGGTGTCCCGCAGCCGGGCCCAGCCCCGCATCGCGCCTCCTCCCCGCGCTGAGCCCTCCCCGGGCCCCCACCTCCCCCGACCCCCCGTTCCTGCCACCCCCCAGGGCCGGTTTGCCCCCCAAGTTCCCAAACTGCCCCCCGCACCCCGTGTCCTCCCCGCCAGCGGGACCCCTGTGCCGGACGGGCGGAAGGCGGGGGAGCAGGCGGGGGGGCAGGCGGGGGGTCCCTCCTCCATCCCTCCTCCTCCATCCCTCCTCCATCCCTCCTCCTTCCTCCTCCCCTCCCCCGCTGCCCGCTCGGTGCCGGTGCCGGTGCCGGTGGCCGGGCAGCGCCGAGCCCCGCGGAGCGGCATGGCCGGGGGCCGGAGGTGCCGCCGCCGCCCGGCCCTGCCCGCAGCCCTGCCCGCAGCCCTGGGGCTCTGCCTGTCCCTCTGCCTGCTGCTGCCGCCGCCCGCCGCCGCCTGGAGCCCGGCCCTGCTGCCGCCCGCCGCCCGCAGGTACCGGCACCGGGGACACGGGCATGCGGGCACCGGGGCAGCATCGCCTGCTGCGGGTACCGAGGGGCACCAGGGGCTGTGGGTACCGGGGGGCACCAGGCACCGGCAGCTGCGGGTATTGGGTACCGAGTGCTCGGCACCAGGGGCGCCAGGGACCCGGGAGCTCCGGGCACGGGGGACACCGGGGACATAGGGAGGTGGGCACCTGGGAGAGTCGGGGGATCTGTGGCTACCAGGGGTCCAAGGTATCAGCCATGGGAGCATCGGGCGCAGGGTGCATCAGGCACGGGGCTCTGTGGGAGCTGGGGGGTTCTGTACCAGGTGTAGGGGCACCACAGACCGGGGGGCACCGGCAGCTGGGCACTGCAGGGAGGGGCTCTGTGGGCCGTGGTGCTGGGGCTGCTGGGGCAGGGGAGGCTGGGGGGACACCGGGAGATACTGGGGCAAGCTGGACTTGCTGGGGCGGGGAGTTGCTGGGCCAGCAGGACTTGCTGGGAGGCTACTGGGGCCAGCAGGACTGGCTGGGGGGTTACTGGGGCCAGCAGGACTTACTGAGAGTATCAGAGCTGCCAGGCCTAGCAGGGTGCTGGGAGGTGCTGGGGCTGCTGGGGCTGCCTGGGCATTTTGGAATCCTGGGGCTGCCTGGGCATACTGGGGCTGAGGCTGCTGGGATTACTGGGACTGCTGGGATGGATATTGGGGCTGCTGGGCATATTGGCACTACTGGGGCTGCCAGGACTCCTGGGGCTGCCTGGGCGTACAGGGACATGCTGAGGCTACTGGGTTTGCCTGGGCATATTGGGATGCTGGGGCTGCCTTGGCATGCTGGGACTACTGGGAATGCTGGGCATGGTGGGGCTCCCTGGGCTACTGCGGGTGCTGGGGCTGCCTTCTCCTGATGGGAGTGCTGGGGTTGGTGGAGAGCGAAAGTCCCCAGCCCCAGGGTCCTGCCTGTCCCTTGCAGGTGGCCCACGCCAGGGGTCTGTGGCTGCTGTGGGGGGCTGTGGTCCCCGTCCCACCGCAGCGGCAGGGGGGTGCCGGGGGGGGGGGTTGTTTACAGGAAACCCTTGGCTCTGGCCGTGTCTCCGGCACCGGATTGCCGGGACCTCCCGGTTCCGCTCGGCTCGGTGAGGCGACGGGCAGAAGTCGCCTCATTTCCCCTTCCCCTCCCGGCCAAGCCCAGGAAGCCCCCGGCGCCTTGGCACAGCCCTGCCGTGTCCCCCCGGGACCCCCAGGCCAGCACCCAGCACCCACGATCCCCCACCCCATCCCACCCATCCCACCCATCCCACC